AGTAGTGGTAGTAGTGGTAGTAGTAAACAGATCCCTGCGTATGAGTTGCTGTAGTGTTGTATAACAGTCCCCCCATGGTGACCCCATGACATGATGATGATGATGATGATGATGATGATGATGGTGATGGTGATGATGATGATGATGATGCTGATGATGATGTTGCTGTAGTGGTGTGTACAGTGTTATATAATGCTGTAGTGTGTTGCGGTGTGCAGTTGTTCTGTAGAGTGTTGTATAGTTATGTATGGTGCTGGTGTGTGCTATAGCATGCTGTGGTATGCTGTGGTGTGCAGTAGTGCTGTATAGTGCTGTACAATGCAGTGTGGTGCTGTACTGTGCTGCGTACTGCGGTATAGTGCTGTAGTGTGCTGTGGTGTGCTGCATGGTTGTGTGTAGTGTTGTGTAGTGCTGCAGTGTGCTGCATCGTGCTGTATAGTAGTGCTGTAGTGTGCCTTCGGCCCCCCGTTTCTTGGCCCCCAAGGCCGCGCCATCCCTGGGACGAGGGAAGAACTGGGAGAACACTCGATCCGCCAGTAAACCACAAAGTCAAGAACTGTTCAAATCTTGCCTTCGGGCCTCCTCCTCCTCCTCCTCCTCTTCCTGGCCCCCCCACCCCCAGGCTCGCCGTCCTGCCCGCGGGCCACCGGGAAGTCCCACGACGACGAGGACGAGGAGAGAGGAGAACGAGGAGCGGGGGTCCTCCATTCCTCCCCCAATTCTGAGACACGCAGAGACGGCGCCAGGCCAACAACGCACGCCACGCATAACACTCGAACATCCTCCGCTCCCCCGCCTCCAACGACGAGGAACGCAGAAGAGGGAAGGCGGACGGGGGAAAGGACGACGGGGGGAACATGCAACCCAGCCTGGTGCTCGTCGATGATCGGGGACAGGCCATCGAGCTGCTCACGACGCGCCCCAAGGAAGTGGGCGCGCTGGCGCGGGCTGGCGCCAGGCGCCGGCAAGGGAGGCAGATCCTCCGCCACCACCAGGAGCTGCCGCCGCCGCCCGGCACCTACAGCTCTGGATGCGCGCGGCGCGCCACGCGCTGGCGCCCCCAAGAGCCACACTGCGGGGGGCCAGGGCTGGCCAGCTCGGAAAGCTTTGGGCGGGTGCCGCCTGGGACGCGGCGAGGCGGCACGAGAAGGGCTACATCAGCAGCCCCGCCTGCCCGTTCTGCCCCAACCGCGCCGCCAAGGGCACGAGTGCCCACGCGTTGCCGAGATCGGCGACGGCGGCGACGGCGCCCCCCTCGCCGCGATGTCCGAGCAGCAGCTGCGGACCAAGCAGCCGATGCAAGCTCGGTGTCATCTGGGCGTGGCCGACGCCGATTACGACCGCTTTGATCTAGTCATCGGCATCCCGATCCTCCCGTACCAGGCGCCGCCGCCGGCGCACGGTGCGTGCCATCTTTGGGGCGACTGGTTTTCGTCGGTCGTCGAGCGGAGGACCATCACGTACGCGGACGGCTCGGGCTTCGACCGGTGAATCCTCGAGCTCACGCGATGTGGCTGGTCTCTCGTCCAGCTTGGCGACGACGGCTCTCCAGCGCGCGCCGCCTGCGGCATCCTGCCAGGCGAGCGCCAGACGGTGGGGCGAGCGGAGCGTTGGGCGTTCTTGCAGGCGCTGCGGCTCACGCCCTACATGCACCTCCTGGTCACTAACTTGGCGGCGCTCGCGCGCGAGGTCGAGGCCTGGACCAGCACCTCGCCAGCTCGGCGGGCCAGTGCGTCGACATTGGCGACAGACCTTCGACGTGAGGCATGAGCAGCCCAGGCCTACACCTCACGTTCGACGCCTACGCGAATCACGACCAGTTGGACGTCATGGACTTCCTGGGTAATGCATAGGCGAACTAGTTCGCCAAGGTGGGGCGCTAGAACACAAACTGCCCGACACCCTGGCGGACCTGTTCAAGGTCAAGCTCGCGGACGTCCGCCAGGAGGCCTCGGTGCTGGCCTAGCAGCAGGCCGAATTGGGCGCGCTGTCCGACGAGGCGGGTGCGCTGGTCCAGCGCACGTGCCGCCCCGGCGCTGCCGTCGCCCCCGCGCAGGTGGTGCGCGGCCGCCACTGCATCCAGCGCCGCCCGACACGCTGGCAGTGTGTGGATTGCCTCGCACGCGCGGCCACCGACGCTGCGAGGACGAGGCTGGAGCGCAGCGAGTGCGCGCCCTCGGCCTTGCAGCAATTTCTAGCGAATGCGCAAGCCCGTCTCCCAGCCTCGTCCTCTGCCTCCCTCGCATCCGCGTCGGCGCCTCTGCCCACGGCCCGCGAGGAGGCCATTGCGATCGCCCTCAAGGCGGCGGATCGCCTCCTCGGCCCCGAGAAAGGCCGGCCCCGGGTTGGCCATCCTGGGCCCGAGGCTGCGAGGCCCTGGCTTCCCGCGCCCTCCACGGAGCGCGAGGGCAGGTCCCGCTCCCCGACGCGGGGGGCCGCGACGGCCCTCAGTGCGTTCTTGGCCTGCGTTCCTGGTGACGGTCATCCTGTCGGTGCGAGACCGTGGATTCGCGTCGGCGAGGTCGGGGATGCCGACGGCGTTTCTGGGAGGGGTCTTGGGGGGAGCGGCACAGGTCCTTCGACCCCCTGTGCTGGTCCGTCCGGGGCCGAGGCCCCCGCGCAGGCCCCCCGGGGACCCACCGTGTCTAGTAGGCGAGGTGGGGCTCCCAGTGGGCCCAGTACTGGTAGCAGTACACGGAAGCCCCCGCCTGGGGTTGCCGAGCCTAGCTATGAGCTCATTCGGGGCAACCACATGGTCGCCGAGGGGCCCTTCGTTCATTACCTCAACTGCGGTGGATCAGCATCCAGTCGCCGATCCCCAGTGCTGACGGCCAACTGCAATGGGCCCGTCACCTGGGAGACTAGCCGGCTTCGGGCTACAGCTCTTAGAAATCTTCGAGCTGGCCGCCATCCTCGGACGGGGATCGCATTCCCTTCATGGAACGCTGGGTCCTCCTCCTCCCCCTCCTCCTCCTCCTCCTCCTTTCCCCCCTCCCACCTTCCCCCCTCCATTCTCTACGCCTGCCTCTCCGGGCCTCTGCCCCGGCCCCCGCCTCACTCTGATCCAGGTGGAGGGACCAGCGCTGGGCTGGAATCCACCCGCGACCCCTCACCCTCGTCACCGTCGGCTGCCAGCGGAAGCGCCAGTGCATCACCGCTGGCCGAATGGCCGCCACGAGCCCGACAATCATGGGCACGACTGCGGCCATGCTGGTGTGGCTCGCCGGCCCTCTACGCCCACGCCGCGCTGGGAGACGCCTCCTCGCGGCCGTGCCCGAATCCTCGCCGCCGCGAAGCAGACCTGCATCGGCCACCACTGGCGCAAGGGATCCAGCGCTATCGCGGCGCCAGGCTGCGTGGCTCGCAGTGAGCCGCCTCCAGGGGCCCGCCGGGTGCCTGGGGCTTCTAAGGCCCCCAAAAAACTCGAGCCCCCAAATGGGTCACGGAAAGAGAGAGAGAGAGAGAGACAGAGAATATCCCAGTGCGACCCTACCTAGGAGCCCCTTGGAAAGCAGCATTAGTAGTAACAGTAAAGCTAAGCTAAAGCTAAGCTAAAGCTAAGCTAAAGCTAAGCTGAAGCTAAGGTAAAGCTAAGCTAAAGCTAAGCAACAGCTAAGCTACAGCTAAGCTACAGCTAAGCTAAAGCTAAGCTAAAGCTAAGCTAAAGCTATACTAAAAATAAGCTAAAGCTAAGATAAAACTAAGCTAAAGCTAAGCTAAAGCTAAGCTCAAGCTAAGCTATAGCTAAGCTAAAGCTAAGCTAAAGCTAAGCTATAGCTAAGCTAAAGCTAAGCTAAAGCTAAGCTATAGCTAAGCTAAAGCTAAGCTAAAGCTAAGATAAAACTAAATATAAGCTAAAGTTAAGTTAAAGCTAAGCTACCGCTAAGCTAGAGCTAAGATAAAGCTAAGCTAAAGTTAAGCTAAAGTTAAACTAACACTAATCTAAAGCTAAGCTAAAGCTAAAACTAAAGCTCCCAGGGGACTGGGGGAACCGCGGGGCGGGGACCGGGGGAACCGCCCGGGGCGAAGCCCACTGCAGAGAGAGAGAGAGAGACAGAGACAGAGCACGGGCATCCCCAGCCCGTCCCAGCCGCTTAAAGCCTTATGTCCTGCTTCGCCCGAACTCTCTCTCTCTCTCTCTCTCTCTCTCTCTCTCTCTCTCTCTCTCTCTCTCTCTCTCTCTCTCTCTGTGTTTCACGTGGCCACTTCGCCCACTCGCAGATCCACGAAATGGGCAGGCCTTGCTGTCATCGTGTCGACACTCACCGTCGGGAGCACTTGATTCGGATTGAGGGTGGGAAGTGGCAATAGCAGCTTAGCTAGGCTGGGCAGCGTCATCCCTCGTAGCTCGACTGGTGGGGGTGCTCGAACCTCGAACCTCCTCCTCGAACCTCCTCCTCCTCCTCCTCCTCCTCCTGTCCTCCTCCTCCTCCTCCTCCTCCTCCTCCTCCTCCACTCCTCCGCCTCCTCCTCCTCCTCCTCCTCTCCTCCTCCTCCTCCTCCTCCTCCTCCTCCTCCTCTCCTCCTCCTCCGCCTCCCGCCTCCGCCTCCGCCTCCGCCTCCGCCTCCGCCTCCGCCTCCGCCTCCGCCGCCTCCTCCTCCTCCTCCTCCTCCTCCTCCTCTCCTCCTCCTCCTCACCTCCTCCTCCTCTCCTCCTCCTCTTCCTCCTCCTCCTCCTCCTCCTCCACCCTCTCCGCTCCTCCTCCTCCTCCTCCTCCTCCTCCTCCTCCTCCTCCTCCTCCTCCTCCTCTCCTCCTCCTCCTCCTCCTCCCTCTCCTCCTCCTCCTCCTCCTCCTCCCTCTCCTCCTCCTCCTCCTCTCATTCTCCCTCTCACACCCCATTCTCCCCCATTCGCCTCCCGCTCCCCCTCCTCCTCGTCATCCCCGCCCCCCTCCTCATCCTCCCCTCCTCTCCTCCTCCTCCTCCTCCTCCTCCTCCTCCTCCTCCTCCTCCTCCTCATCCTCCTTATCCTCGTCGTCCTCCTTCCGTCTGGAGCGGACCCACACCATGTTGCCCGAGCTGCGGAAGCCCCACTCCAGCCTCAGCTCCTGGACGGACCGGCCAGAGGGGGAGGTGGGGCCAGCCACGTGGACCGAAAGCCGAAGACGCCTGGGAGATCGAACTCCCAGGAAGTGCAGGTCCGCTATAGAGTTGGATTCCAAGTGACTTAAGCCACCCTTGCGGCAGAAGACCATGAACAGATGTACACACTTCTCATGGGGGCCACGATGGGGGGATAAGGATAGGGACAGGGATAGGGGTAGGGATATAATCTAGGGGTATAGAGACAATGGCATAGGAATAGAGACAGGCATCGGGAGGGGGAAAACAATAGGGATATAGGATCCGCCACCGTGCCCTTGTGACACTAAGTGGAGTGGCCCAAGGTCCCTTGCTCAACCCCTGAGCCTCAGTCCTCAACCCTGAAGATAATCTAAGGGTCCCGGACCCCGAATTGCCAAATCTTCTGGGGCTTGCTGCGTGTCCCCTGGGCTCGCTCGAGTGTTGTCGCATAACTTTTTCGGGGCCAAGAGGGGCCCAAGATGGGCCAACAGACCCCCAAGAGCTCACCCAGCCGGTCCAAGAGTGCCCCGAATCGCTACACGATCGGTCCAGGACGCCCAAGATGGCCCCAAGACGGCCAAAGAAGCATTCGAGGCGCCCCAAGAGAGCCCCAAGAGCCTCCCAAGAGGGCTTCGAGAGGCCCCGAACAATTATTTCCCTGAACGTGTTCACACGTTTCGGGGGTCCCCGATTTTTCGACCCCTCAACGCTCCAAGACAGCCCAAATGGCCCCCAAGACTGCCCCAAGACAGCCAAAGAGGCCTCCAAGAGGGCCTCAAGACGGCCAAAGAGTGCTCCAAGACGGCCCCAGAGGCGCCCGAGAGGCCTAAGAGGCCAAAGACATCCCCAAGAAGTGTACAAGAGGGGGAATACGAACCGACATAACGGAGTCTACCGCCCCAAGAAGCCCTCAGGGGGCATCAAGGAGGCCCCAAGAGGCCCCCAAGAGGCCCCGAGAGACTTCCGAGGCACCAAAGACGCCCCAAGAGGCCCCAAAACGGCGCCAAAGAGGACTCAAACAGCCCTGAAGAGGCTCCCGAGAGACCTCGCGCGACATCCCAACGAACACCCTCGAGGCCTATGACCAACCACCCAAGCACGGTGGCCCAGCACAGAAAGGGAAAGAGCGCTTCAGAAACAAAAACCGAAATTACTCACACCACCGTTCGTACTGGGAGCCTTGGCGATGAGAGCTTGTTACGTCACCCCTCGCTCTTGGGAGCCTTGGTGTTCAGAGATTGTTGCGTTGCCGCCCGTTCCCGAGCCTTGGCTGGGCCTTGGTGTCAGGAACTTGCTACGTCACCGCTCTCTGCTGGGAGCCTTGGTCTTATCAGCTTGTTTACGTCACCGTTCGCTCTTGGGAGCCTTGGTGTGAAGAGCTGTTTGCGTTACCGATCGCTCTCTATTTGGCGTCTCTAGGCCTTCTTGGGAGTCCTATGGGGCCCTTTTAGAACCCTTTTGGAGGCCTCTTGGGAACCTCTTGGGGGCCTCTTGGGGCTTCTAGGGGGGCTCTGGGGGCCTCCTGGGAGCTTCTTGAGGTGGACGCCTCCCAGGGCGTCTTGGAAGCCTCTTGGGCCGATCTTTGGGGCCTCTTGGGCCGCCTGGGGCCCTTCTGGGACGGAAAAGGGGAGAATCCGAAAAACATACAAAGACCCTAGGGAAAACCCGAAAACGGCCATTGACGCCCATTCCCTGCCCCTACCCCCCTCCCTGTAGGGCTTCGCCCACACCAGAACGTCATCACTCGTACCTCGCTCTTCCCGTTACCTGGCCCGGCACAGAAACGGAAAGAGCGCTTCAGCAACAGAAACCGAAATTACTCACACCACCGTTCGTACTGGGAGCCTTGGCGTTGAGAGCTTGTTACATCACCCCTCGCTCTTGGGAGCCTTGGTGTTCAGAGATTGTTGCGTTGCCGCCCGTTCCTGAGCCTTAGCTGGGCCTTGGTGTCAGGAACTTGTTACGTCACCGCTCTCTGCTGGGAGCCTTGGTCTTATCAGCTTGTTTACGTCACCGTTCGCTCTTGGGAGCCTTGGTGTGAAGAGCTGTTTGCGTTACCGATCGCTCTCTATTTGGCGTCTCTAGGCCTTCTTGGGAGTCCTATTGGGGCCCTTTTAGAACCCTCTTGGAGGCCTCTTGGGGCTTCTTGGGGGGCTCTTGGGGCCTCCTGGGAGCGTCTTGGGGCGAAAGGCTAGACTTCTCGGTTCGTGGCCCCCCTCTTGGGGCCGTCTTGGGGCCCTCGTGGGCCGTCTTGGGCGCCTCGTGGGCCGTCTTGGCGCCCTCTTGGGCCGTTTATGGGGCCTCTTGGGAGCCTCTTGGGCCGTCGTGGGCCGGTATTGGGGGCCTTTTGTGCCGTCGTCAACGCCGTGAAAGCCGAAAAACCGTATATGCTAAAAAAGTACGCTTTCCAATGGAAAATCTATGATTTCGGCCTCTTGGGGGCCTGTTGGGGCGCCTCTTGGACGCCTCCCAGGGCGTCTCGGAAGCCTCTTGGGCCGATCTTTGGGGCCTCTTGGGCCGCCTGGGGCCCTTCTGGGACGGAAAAGGGGAGAATCCGAAAAACATACAAAAACCCTAGGGATAACCAGAAAACGGCCATTAACGCCCATTCCCTCCCCCTACCCCCCTCCCTGTAGGGCTTCGCCCACACCAGAACGTCATCATTCGTACCTCGCTCTTTCCGCTACCTGGCCCGGCACAGAAACGGAAAGAGCGCTTCAGAAACAGAAACCGAAATTACTCACACCACCGTTCGTACTGGGAGCCTTGGCGTTGAGAGCTTGTTACATCACCCCTCGCTCTTAGGAGCCTTGGTGTCCAGAGATTGTTGCGTTGCCGCCCGCTCCTGAACCTTAGCTGGGCCTTGGTGTCAGGAACTTGTTACGTCACCGCTCTCTGCTGGGAGCCTTGGTCTTATCAGCTTGTTTACGTCACCGTTCGCTCTTGGGAGCCTTGGTGTGAAGAGCTGTTTGCGTTACCGATCGCTCTCTATTTGGCGTCTCTAGGCCTTCTTGGGAGCCCTATTGGGGCTTTTGACCTCCACGGGCCCACCGCATAGTGCAAGCAACTGGCAACGCGGGACCTGCCAGCTCTGAGAAAAACCTCGCCTCGGCGAGAGCCGCTATGGGGAGGGGGCTTCGCGAGTTCCTTTCGGAGCGCCCACTATGGCCCCCTCCCCGCACGGATCGACCCTCGGCTCGGGCTCTCACTGTCTGGCAGACACGCCAGAGACAGTGCACAAGAAAAATACGACTCACCACACAAGTAACCACACCTGCCATTAGTGGCGAATGACAGGAGAAAAACAGGCACCAGCTGGACCATCAGCTGGAAAAACGATCGGCAACGCGGAGAGCATCCTGAGCGGACAGGCGGTCGCCGCTTAGATCGCGAAGCCGCGACCTATGCCACGACAGCCTGAGGGCCGAGGAGGCAAAGCACGGCCGAGAATAAGATTGAGAACAGAAACTGAATTAGAGGGAGTGGCTGCGCCTGCAACCACACGTACGAGAAGACGGGTTCACGCCTGCCAAAAGAAAAAGGCAGGCAAGAACGCTGCAAGTCAATCCGATCCCGACCCCTCCTCCACAGCCCCACCCGTTCCCATATCGTCCGCCTCGCAGCGGAGAGAAGCAGCAATGCGCCTCAAGCACTCCCTGGTGGCTGCGGCCGAGGCGACCACATCACTCGAGGAAGAGCTGGGCGCAACGCTGCAGACAGGAACGCCTGCGACAGAAGCAGTGGCAGGCTCTGCGGAGCGGACAGGCTCCTGCCCTCCAGCGCTGGCCGCACTACCAGACGAGCCAGAGGGAGCGGAGCTCTTGTCACCATCCTCCGTAAAATCAGGATTCGAAACCAAATACGAGTTAAAGCAGCGCACAAGGGAGGTATCATCAACTGTAACACCTTTACTCGACCGAGAGTAGTGTGGATGAATACCCTTACACAAGGCAGCCCAACCAAGACGACCCGCGCGGGAAGGCTTCTTACAGACTTCCCCTAGGCCTCTAACCCTGCCACCAGTGGAGTGGCATTTGCATTTCAGGCATATGAATAACACTGACTTATCTGAACAGTCGAAGGCAACAGTTCTGTGCCCTAGAGCATCCTGCCGCGCGGCATGCAACTTAGACTCCTGGGGGCATCTACCAGGGGAAGGGCGTGTCGTGCCCCTACTCCCACGGAGGCAAACTGCACACCTCCAGACACCAGCCCAGACTTCCCAACGATGACCTACCTTACTGAAGGAGCCTGAATGCTCAGCAGGAGGGGGAGGGACATAAGGAACGTCAAGAGAGAGCTTAGGCCATAATGGAAGCAAGTTAGCAGCAAGGATGCAATAACCCCTGGCCGCTTCCACAAGCTTGTCTACCTTGGCTAATTCAGACGGGTCAGAAGGGTGAAGCTGAAGGGCATGTTTGGCACCCGCATCAGCGTCAGCATTTCCACGCCTGAGAAAACGTTCTCTCTCAGAGATGCCCTCCTGATGGACATCTAAATGAGCTTTGACCTTTACAATGCCTTCCAAAAAACGGCCCTCAAAGTTGTTGGCACACATGATCATTCCTGAATACGACCTCTTGCCCGAGTATCTCTCTGGCAAGGGCAACGTACTATGAGACACGACATTGGCACAGTCCGAGTAAATAGTGGTCGGCAACACCAGGAACTGAGCGGCGACACATCTGGCAGCATATTCAGCCGCCTGAGGCGTCTGAGGAAGATGAGCCCAGACAGGGCCTCTCGCCTCTCCAAGGCAAGTGCCATCCTCGGCGTTCATTGAAATGGCATAGGCAGCTCTTGAAAGTTCCTTGATAGGGTGACGCTGGCAGGACCCATCAATGAAGACATGACCCCACATTTCCCCGTTCACTGGGACCCTGGGACCTTCAGGGCTTTGAAGCTCGTCACAATGCCAGACGAACTGAAGGGCATTCGTTCCCTCCACGACAGGACGCGGCAAAACATCAGCGGGATGAGCGAA